GCCGTTTGGGGGCCTCTATGGGCCGACTTGGGGCCCGCTTGGAATGCTCCAGGGCCGTCTTGGAGGCCATCTTGGGCGTCTGGGAGGCCATCTTGGGCGTGTTGGAGGCCTCTTGGGCCCTCTTGGGGCCCTCTAGGGGCCATCTTGGAGGCCACTTGGGCCATCATGGGGCTCTCTTGGGGGCCTCTTGGGCGATCTTGGGGGCTTCTTGGGCCGTCTTGAGCCGTCGGAGAGCCGAAAAGGCGCAAATGCCAAATCCTTCAAAAACCAATGGAAAATCAATGATTTTGGCCTCTTCGGACTCTCCTGGAGGACCTCTTGGAGGCCTCTTGGGCCGTCTGGGAGGCCTCTGGGGGGCCTCTTGGGCCGTCTTGGGCCGTCTTGGACTCTCTTGGGCCGTTTTGGAGGCCGTCTTGGACCATCTCGGGCGGACTTGGAGGCCATCTTGGGCCATCTTCGCGATTTTTTGAGGATGTCCCGAGCGAAACGGCCGTTTTTGGGCATTGACAGACGGATTTTGGGAAACGCGCGGGTGGCCGGCGGGACGGGCCGAAGCCCACTGGGGAGTTCTTTTAGAAAAAGAACCGAAACCAAAACCTGAATCGTCCAGCACGCCGTGCACCCCTGCAAGCAGGGGGCGGCGGATCAATTGGCCGTCGGCCCATCCCGCCACCGTGCTTGGGTTTCGGTTCGGAATCCTCATGGACGCTTCGTGGGCTCTCTCGAGTGGGCTCTCGGGGGCTACTGGGGGGAGTTTAAGTGCCTCTTGTGGGTTTCCTGGGGGCTTCTTGGGAGCCTCTTGGGTCTCGTCACCTTGCCTGGGTTGTGGCTCAGAGTCTTCATGGACGCTTGCAGGAGTCTTTTCGGACAGCTCTCGGGGGCTTCTGCGGGGCAGTTTAGGGGCCTCTTGGGGGCGTCCCAGGGGCTTCTTGGAGACCTCTGGGGGCCCTCTTGGGGCCTCTTGGGGCTCTTTTGGGGTTTGTTGGGGGAAAGCTCGACATGTTCATTCGGGTACCCCTTCTGGGCCTCCTCTTTGGGCCATCCTGGGGCCCCTTTTGGGCCGTCCCGGGGGCCTCTTGGGCGGTTTTGGGGCCCTCTTGGGCCGTCTTGGGGCCGTCTTGGGGGCTTGTTGGGCCGTCCTGGGGCGATCTTGGGGGCCTCTTGGGCCGTCGTGGAGCGTGGGTAAGCCGAAATGGCGTGAACGTGAAAATCCTTCAAAAACCATTGAAAAACCTATGATTTTTGTATCTCGGGGCTGTCTTGGGGATGCTCTTGGAGCCCTCTTGGGCCGTCTTGGAGGCGTGTTGGGCCGTCTGGAGGCCATCTCAGGCGTCTTGGAGCGATCTGGAACCGTCTGGAGGCTCTCTTGGACTGCTCGGGACTCTCTTGGACCGGCTTGGGGCGCCCTTGGGTCGTCCCCGGGCCGTTTGAGACCTTGAAGGGGGCCGGCGGCAGAGTGGGGCCGGCGGCAGAGTGGGGCCCCCTCGGAGGGACTTTCAGGAGGTTTTTGACCAGGCACTGGAGAAGGGGGCCAAAGACTGTGCCAGACACTGTGTCAGAGAGGTCTCGCACGGCCCAACCCGCCGGGCGGGAGCGGCCGGATCGAGGACGCCGGCGGCGCATCACCGGCCGCTCCCTGGGAGTTTGCCGAAGATCGCGCAGCATCGAAAGTCGTGACGTGGCGCGGCCCATCCCGCCACCGTGCTTGGGTTTTGGGTCGGAGTCCTCGTGGACGCTTCTTGGGGTCTCGAGAGGGCTCTCGGGGCCTCTGCGGGGGAGTTTAGGGCCTCTTGAGGGCCTCCTGGGGGCTTCTTGTGAGCCTCTTGGGGGCCTCTTGGGGCCTTTGGGGGCTCTCTTGGAGCCTCTTGGGGGCCTCCTGGGGGCCTCTAAGAGCCCCCTGGGGGCCTCTTGGGACCGAAAGCTCAAAATGTTCATTCGGGTTCCCCTTCTGAGCGCCCTCTTGGGGCCGTCCTGGGGCCTCTCTTAGGCCGTTCTGGGTGCCTCTTGGGCCGTCTTGGGGCCCTCTTGCGCCGTCTTGGAGCCCTCTTGGGGGCTTGTTGGGCCGTCCTGGGGCGATCTTGGGGGCCTCTTGGGCCGTCTTGGAGCGTGGGTAAGCCGAAATGGCGAGAACGCGAAAATCCTTCAAAAACCATTGAACAAGGCCGTCTTGGAGGCGTCTTGGGCCGTCTGGAGGCTATCTTTGGCGTCTTGGAGCGATCTGGAGCCGTCTGGAGGCTCTCTTGGATTGCTCGGGACTCTCTGGGACCGGCTTGGGGCGCCCTTGGGTCGTCCCCGGGCCGTTTGAGACCACCTTGAAGGGGGGGGGGCCGGCGGGGGGCCGGCGGCAGAGTGGGGCCCCCTCGGAGGGACTTTCAGGAGGTTTTTGACCAGGCACTGGAGAAGGGGGCCAAAGACTGTGCCAAACACTCTGTCAGAGAGGTCTCGCACGGCCCACACCGCAGGGCGGGAGCGGCCGGATCTTAAGGGCTTCGCCCTCTGCCGCCGGTCCCTCTGTTACTACTGCGGGCGGCTGCGCTGGGGTCTCCTGGGGGCCTCTTGGGGCCGCTTGGAAACAGTATTTTGGGTTTCTTGGGGGTCTCCTTGGGGCCTCTTGGGGGCCTCTTGGGGGCCTCTTGGGGCCTTTGGGGACCTTCTTGGGGCCTCCTTGGGCCCTCTCGGGAAGGAAAAGTGGAGTTTTCGATTCGTGGACTCCCTCTTGGGCCTGTCTTGGGACCGTCTTAGCGCCTTTTTAGCCTGAGGGGCGCATCTTGGACCGTTCTGGGGCCCTCTTCGGCCGTCTCGGGGCCGTCTTGGGGGCCCCTCTGGCTCTCATGGGGGCTTCTAGGGCCGTCGTGGGGCGATCTTGGGAACTTCTAGGGCCGTATTGGAGCCATCGTGGGACATCTTGGGGCCATCTTGGGCCGTCTTGGCCTCCTGAGGCTCTCTTCGGAGCCTCGTCGGGCTATCTTGGGGGCCTCTCGGGCCGTTCTGGTTGCGCGGTGGCGTCCCCATGAGAATCCTGGGGTGGCCCAGAGCAGCCTGGATTTGAGGTTCACACCACCCGGTTGCCTGTTTGGTGGCGCGGTGGGCCCCTTATCAGACAGTAAACAGGAGGCAGGAAACAGGACTGGAGAGACACACGACACACAACACATGACAACACATAACACATTACAGTAGACCGCACACACCTTCGCAGCCTTGCGCCCCCTGAGGGAGCTGGCGAATTATTAGTTGTTTTCTTATTATTTTCATTATTCTTCTTCTTGTCATAAAAATAGTAAGAAGAATACTTAGTATTTGTATTATTCGTATTCATATTGTTGTTGTTATTACTCTTACTATTATTATTCTTCTTCTTATTATTCTCGGCCCACGTCCTCCGCCTCCTCATCATCATGCTCCACCTGTCCATTCTCCTCTTGCTTTTTCTGCTGTTCCGCCCCGCCTCGCCTTTTCTCCCCACCCTCCTCGTGCATCTCTTTGTCCATCGCTCTCCCTCCTCGCCCTCCCCCCCATTCTCCGCTGCGCATTGTCCCACAGTCGGCCCAGATCAGCAGGTCGACCCTGCCAGCTCAAGGGTACCCTTGTGTCCTGTGCCTCGCGACACGTGCCCTCTTACGCTCTTGTGGCGATGTGGCCCTCGGAAGTGTGTTGTGTCCTCTCGCGTGTCCTGTCCAGTCAAGGCCGACTGTACACATTGTCCTGCCGCCGTCCTACTCCTTATCCTCCCCTCTTCGCTGGCGGCGGCGACGGAGCGCGGCCGCGGCGCCACCGCGGCGGCGTTCGGCTCCTCCTCCTCCTCGTTCTCCTTCTCCTCCTCCTCCTCCTCCTCCTCCTCCTCCTCCTCCTCCTCCCCATCCTCGTCCTCCTCCTCCTCCTCCTCCTCCTCCTCCTCCTCCTCGTGCTCCTCCTTCTCCTTATCCCCCTTGTGCACCCATCTTTGCCCCCCCTTTCCTCCCCTCCTCCTCCCCTCTCCTCTGCCCCCGCCTTTCCCCGGCCCCGGCGGCCGGTTCTTCCCCCCGGCCCCTGCCTGCAAGACGGGGGAAGAGCCCGGGCAGCGGGGGCCCCCGTGTGGAGGAAGTCGGGGCGGCGGGTGTCTGGGAGCGGATGCCTCGCCTCGGCATCGTTCCCAGACATGATGGCGTCGTAAAACAATCAGGACGGGCGGTTTTTGAATATTTTCGCCTTCTAGAGGTCCTCGCCGGGCCTCGGGACCGTCAAAAAACGACTCAGGACGAAAAACTGGTCCCGGGGAAAGGGTCGGGACTTGCGGGGACGCCGTCCTGAAAAAATCAGGACGTCGCATGTCTGGGTTTAACCGATCCCCATCCCCATCCCCACCCCCTTCGAGACCCCCACCCAATTGCCCCCCCAGTTGGGGATGCACCCCTCGAAACGCGAAGGGCACGGCCCATATCCCCTACCTGGGGGGGTAGATCGGCCAGCGGGGCCCAGGCCACGCCGCTGGGGATGGGGACCGGTTCAACGATACTCATGCCCCAGAGGTCCCGACCCCTCCCCCCTGGGGGTTGTTTTTCGTCCTGGATCCATGTTTGATGCCGACATAACAGGCCCTAGAGGCCGAAATCCAAGAAAAAACGCCAGATCAAAAGACTCCAATCCTCGGATCTCTGGGGGAGGCTCGGGTGTTGCTAGAAGTGCCCCTGGCCCAGGGTGCCCCCAGGATTCTCGGGGGGGCTCGGACGGCCTCCAGAGCACCCCCTCACGAGGCCCAGAGGGCCCCCGGGGCTCCCAGACGGAGCAGAAAGCCGAGGGCACCTTGGGGCCAGGGGGCCTTCTAGCAACACTCGAGGGGGAGGGAAGGAAGGGGCTGGGGAAGGAAGGGACTGGGGAAGGAAGGGACTGGGGAAGGAAGGGACTGGGGACTGGGGAAGATCTTCTCGAGAAGCGGGGGGCAGGAGGTGCCCCGAGACGCCAGACACGCCGTACTCCTCAGGACGTGTCTGCATGGCAGCGTGGCGCGCGCCCCCGCGCAGGTCCACGGTCCCCGCCATCCGCGCCGGGCTCAACGTCGAGATGCCGGGGGTGGAGCCCCGGCACTTCGGCGGCTACCTCCTGCAGGCGGTCCGTGACGGCGAGGTGCGCGCCGCCTTCCCCCCCCCCCCGCCGCGCCCCTCCCCCGCCTCTCAGACATCCGACGTCTCGATTTTTTCGAGACGCGGGCCCCCAACCTCCCGACCACTTCCCCGGGACCGGTTTTTCATCCCGAGTCGTGTTTTGACGGTCCCGAGGCCCGGCGAGGGCTTCCAGAGGCCGAAAACGACGAAAAACCTTGGTCTCGATTTCTTCGAGACGCCCGAGGTCTGGGGCGCCCCTCCCCCGGCCTCTCTTTCTCCCTCCTCCCCCGACCCCCTCGCGCCGTGGACAAAAAAAAAAAACGTCGCCGTTCTCGGCCCCTATGGGGGCCCTCAGCCCGGGCCTCGGGGCCGCCACGGGGCCCTCACCGGGCCCTCTTGCGACCAGGGGGCGGGCTGTCCCATGGCAGGCCCTGGAGGCTCCATGTGTCTCGGGGAACCCAGGGCGCCCAGACATGATCGCGTCGTACCCAGACCCCCTCGAGTCATGAAAAAATCACGACGGAAGGTTTTTCTATATTTTCCGCCTCTGGGGGCCCTTACCGGCCCTCGGGACCGTCAAAAAACAGCTCAGGATGAAAAACCCGTCCCGGCGAATAGGTCCAGACCTCTGGGGGTCGCGTCATGAAAAAATCATGACGTCGGGGGTCTGGGTAAAACGAATCAGGGCGGGAGGTTTTTCGCCATTTTCGGCCCCCTGGGGCCCTCGCCAGGCCCCGGGAGCGTCAATAAATGGCTCGGGATGAAACCGGTCCTGGGCAGAGTTGCTTCGCAGTCTTCGGCCCACGGGTCGGAGGAGGAAAGGGTACCGATACCGCTGCCCTTCTCTCGTTTTCCCCCTCTTTTCTGGGCCTCCCAGGAGGCCCTCGTCGCCACCGGTGGATTCGACTCCAATGTTGGAGACGACGCACCCCGGGAGAGGTCCGAGGAGTAGCGGCAGAGGTACCCTTCGGTTTCCCCAACGGGGGCCCTCGCCAGGCCTTGGGGCGGTCAACAAAGCGACTCGGGATGAGGGGCCAGCCCCTCCCTCCCTCCCTCCCTCCCTCCCTCCCTCCCTCCTCTTCCTCTTCCTCCTCCTCCTCCTCCTCCTTCTCCTCCACCTCCTCCTCCTCCTCCTCCTCCTCCTCCTCCTCCTCCTCCTCCTGCTCCTCCTCCCAGGGATACGGTCCAGGCCTCTGGAGGGCCCGTTTTGAGAGGCTCAAGGAGTCGGACGTCTGGGGCTGGCGCTGTCCTTGGGCGCGGTGCCCAGCGAGCGGCCGTGGTGGAGTGCAGTCTCCGCCCGGATGGCGTGGAGGCCGCGCTGGATCTCGAGGGGCATGGCGGCGGTGATCTCGGCTGCTGGGCCGGAGCTGATGATGATGATGATGATGATGATGATGATGATGATGATGATGATGATGATGATGGTGATGGTGATGGTGATGGTGATGGTGATGGTGATGATGATGATGATGATGATGATGATGATGATGATGATGGTGAGGTGATGGCGATGATGATGGTGATGCTGATGACGATGCTGATTGCCATGATGCCGATGATGATGATGATGATGATGATGATGATGATGATGATGATGATGATGAGATGCTGATGATACTGATGATGATGATGATGATGGTGGTGGTGGTGATGGTGATGGTGATGATGATGGTGGTGGTGATGGTGATGATGATGATGATGATGATGATGATGATGATGATGATGATGATGATGATGATGATGATGGTGATGGTGATGGTGATGGTGATGGTGATGGTGATGACGATGATGATGATGATGATGATGATGATGATGATGATGATGATGATGATGATGATGATGATGATGATGATGCTGACCGTGATGGTGATGGTTCTGGTGATGGTGATGATGCATCATCATCAGCATCAGCATCAGCATCAGCATCAGCATCATCATCAGCATCATCAACATCATCGTCATCATCCCCGTCTTTGGCTGGAACTGGGTCTAACAGTCGAGGTTGATTAGTAGGTCGACCCTGCCAATAAATGAAGGGTACCCTTTTTGTCCTGTGGTTCGCGACCCATGCCTGCTACATTCCTAAGGCAAGGTGGCCCTCGGAAGGGTCTTGCGTCCCCTCGCGTGCCCTCTCCAATCACCCTCGGCTGCAGCCCCGTCGTCGGGTCGCCTGGCCTCTCGGGGCCATCGCCCTGGGGGGCGCCCTGGGTTCCCCTCTCTTGGGGCGCCAGAATGGACGAAAGATTGCAAAAAAAACCCAACGAAGGATTGCAACAACATGTTTTTTTGCAATCCTTGGTTTTTGTTTGCAATCCTGGGTTGTTTCGCAATCCTTCGTTGTTTCACCATATCCTAAGATGGGGTTCTTGTTATTACTTGGACGCCTCCTACTCCTCCTCCTCCTCCTCCTTCCTCCTCCTCTTTTCTCCTCCCCCCTGTCGGACATACTCAGACTTGCTCATACACAGACTTACTCATACTCAGACTTACTCATACTCAGACCTACTCATACTCAGACTTACTCACACTCAGACATGCTCATATACAGACTTACTCATACACAGGGGGGGGGGATTACTCATTTTACACATGTATTAGTACCCATTAAGGGGGAGCCGCAGGCGGTGGTTGCACGGCCTCGTTCGCGGCATTTTGTGGAGTATGTATCAGGCGTTTTGCCTGTTTTCTGTGCCAAATCCTTCGCTTTCGGAGCAAGATTGGAGGACTCGAGCGAGGAGGCGCTATTTCAGCAACCTCAAGGGGAGCCGCCAAGGGTGGTTGCACGGGCTCGTTCGCGGCCATTGTGTGGGGATGTCTCAGGCGGTTTGCCTGTTCCTGGGCCCAACATCCTTCGCTTGGAGAGCAGATTGTGAGGATGTCTCAGGCGGGGCGCTGGTTTCAGCACCCCCAAGGGGAGCCGCCAGGGGTGGTTGCACGGGCTCGTTCGCGGCCATTTTGTGGGGATGTCTCAGGCGGTTTGCTTGTTTCCGGGCCCAACATCCTTCGTTTGGAGGACAGATTGTGAGGATGTATCAGGCGGGGCGCTGGTTTCAGCACCCTAAGGGGAGCCGCCAGGGGTGGTTGCACGGGCTCGTTCGCGGCCATTTTGTGGGGATGTCTCAGGCGGTTTGCCTGTTTCTGTGCCCAACATCCTTCGCTTCGGAGCAGATTTGGAGGATGTCTCGAGCGAGGCGCTCATTTCAGCACCCCTAAGGGGAGCCGCCAGGGGTGGTTGCACGGGCTCGTTCGCGGCCATTTTGTGGGGATGTCTCAGGCGGTGTGCTTGTTTCTGTGCCCAACATCCTTCGCTTTCGGAGCAGATTTGGAGGAGATTTGGAGGATGTCTCGAGCGAGGCGCTCATTTTCACCCCCCAGGTGGGCCAGATTTTGAGGATGTCTCGATCGGTTTGCTAGTTTTGGTGGCCAGGCTCGTGGGCGCAGATTCTTCTCAGGATGCCACAGGAGGCTCCAACAGGCTCCAGGAGGCTCCAGGAGACCACATGAGGTCCCAGGAGGCATCAGGAGGCCACAGAAAGACTCAAGAGGCCACAGGATGTCCCAAGAGGCGCCAGGAGGCCCCAGGAAGCTCCAGAAGGCCTCAGGAAACCACAGGAGACCCAGGAGACAACAGGAAGCGCCAGGAGGCCTCGGAAGGCAACAGGAGGCCCCGAGAGGCCCCAGGAGCAGGAGGCCTCAGAAGGCAACAGGAGTGGCTCCAATCCCATGTGTTTTACGTATGCTCCTATCGATTGGGCCTCACCTGGAGCACGATTCTTTGATGTTCTACGTATGTTTCTATAGATGGTCCTTCTCCTGTGTACACAATCCTAAATGTTTTACTCATGTTCCTATGTATTGGGCCTCTCCTGGGGCACGAGTCCTTGGTGTTTTACGCGTGTTCCTATAGATTGCCCTTCTCCTGTGGCTCTAATCCGCAATGTTTTATGTACGTCTGTTGCTATAGATTGCGCCTCCCCTGGGGCACGAAACCTTCCTAGGAGGTCCCAGGAGGTCCCAAGAGGCTCCTGGAGACCCCAGGAAGCCCCAGTAGGTTTCAGGAGGCCCCAGGAGGCCCCAGGCTCATGCACAGAGACGCGCTCGTACTACTGAGGCTCATTCACACTCCAATTCATTCGCAGTTAGATTGATGTCCAGACCGTCACAACTGAAGCCCGTTAATATTCGAAAGCTCTTGCGCCTAGACATTCACGGCGGACAGGTCCATGCGAGTAGATGCACATATGGGGAGCTCCACGCAGATGATGATTGCAATCCTCGGTTTGTTGCATCCTTCGTGCTGCCGAGCAACGCGGGCCTCCCCGTGTGAGGTGTCGTCGCGCTGATGTATCAGTCCTAGCGTAGATGTCCAGCGCTGCTGCTGCCAAGGTAGGAGAGGAGGAGGAGGAGGAGGAGGAGGAGGAGAGGGGGAGGAGTGAGGAGGGGGGGAGGCGGAGAAAAGGAGGAAGGAGAGGAGGAGCGCTGCGCGTCCAAGTTGGCGCCCTGCTGGTCCTAGTAGGAGCGCTTCTGGTGCCCGTCGGAGCTTCGCTGGCCCCGGTAGCGGTTGCGCTGCCAGTTGGAGTGCTGTTGGCCCCAGTCAGTCGGGACGTCGTCTGCTGAAGGGGAAGCTCTGCCGGTCGCTTCCGTCGCTCCGGCGGTGGCGCTGCGCACTCACGAGAATAATGATGTCTATGGCGTCGCTGGGAGTCTTCTTCTGGATGTAGCGGGGGTTGCTAGACATGCCTCTGGCCCAAGGTGCCCCTAGGATTTCTGAGGACGCCCCAACGGCCTCCAGAGCACCCCATCACGAGGCCCAGAGGGCTCCGGGGGGCTCCAAAGTGGAGCGAAAAGTTGGGGGCACCTTGGGCCAGGGGCACCTTGAGCAACCCCCGAATGGAGCAGGCCGCGGCCCAGTTGGTGTGGCAATGACTCGGCGGCGCGCCGGTCGGCGCTGCCCGCGATATCGTGGCGGAAGGCGCGGGCGCCTCGGCGTGCGGCTGTGGCTCGGGCTAGCGGGTGCCGCGGAGGGCGTTGCGTCTCCCAGGCGTGGTCCCCCCCCCTCGCGTCGAGAGGCAGCGCCTTTTCTTCCCCTACTGCTCCTCCTCCTCCTCCTCCCCCTCCTCCTTCTCCTCCTCCTCCTCCTCCTCCTCCTCCTCCTCCTCCTCCTCCCACCCCTCGTCACCCTTGTCCCTCTGCTGCCTCCTCGTCCTCCGCCTCCTCCATCCTCCGCTGCTGACCTCACCCCTACCCTGTCAGCCCCGCTCCTCGTTCCCCGTCCCGCCCTCCTGCTCCTCATTATACTCCGCCTCATCATGATCCTCCTCCTTTCCGTCCCTTCTATCTTCCTGCCTCCTGTGGCGGCATGAGGACTGAGGAGGGAGGAGGGACGAAGGAGGAGGGACGGACGAGGAGGAGGAGGAGGAGGAGGAGGAGGAGGAGGAGGAGGAGGAAGGAGGAGGAGGAGGGGGGAGGGAAGGGAGGCGGGAGGGAGGGAGGGAGGGAGGGCGGGAGGGAGGGAGGGAGGGAGCAGGGAGGGAGGGCGGGAGGGAGGGCGGGAGGGAGGGAGGGAGTGAGGGAGGCTGAGGAGGAGGAGGAGGAGGAGGGAGGGGAAGGAGGTGATCCTTCGGGCTTAGTAATCTTCTGGCCATCATCCGTTAACATTGGACCGATACAGAGAAGATTCGACATGCGCCCCTGCGCAAGATGACACGCAACAAGTCGAGAAGCGTATCAATTTTATGGTACGCAGCCAGGAGGGGGGAGGAAGGGAGGGAGGGAGGAGGAGGGATCGAGGGAGTGGAGGAGGAGGGACGAGGAGGAGAACCGAGGAGGAAACATGAGGAGGGAGGTCGAGGGATGCAATCGAAGGGGGGCTTGGAGTGCGGACCAGGGGGGGGGATTGATTGAGGGACGTGGAATGAAGGCGGAGGAGGAGGAGGGAGGAGGAGGATGAGGAGGAGGAGGAGGAGGAGGAGGAGAAAGGGCGGGTGGAGGGTCGAGGACGATGGGGAATTTTTTAAGGCGGAGAAGGGGAATAGTGAGGAGCGAGGAGTGGGGAGGTAGGAGGAGGAGGAGAGGAGGAGGAGGAGGAGGAGGAGGAGGAGAAAGGAGGAGGAGAAGGAGCACAGGAGGAGAGGCGGAGGAGGAGGAGGCGGAGGAGGAGGAGGAGGAGGAGGAGGAGGAACGAAACGTACAAGGATGGCCACGAGAAGTACGGGAAGAGGCATGGGGTGGATGACCGAGGTATCGTCCGCGCTGCTCAACGAGCGCTGCCGCCCCGTCCTCCGCACGCTGCTGAAGCCCCGGGACGAGGACAATGCCGCCGCCTCCTCCTCCTCCTCCTCCTCCTCCTCCTCTCCTCCTCTCCTGCTGCAGCCTGCTCCTCCTCCTCCTCCTCCCCTCCTCCTCCTCATCCTCACTCCCTCTATCCCTCCCCTCCCCGCCCCTCCCTTCCTCCCCTCCTCCTCGCGCAGTCCTCCTTGCCCCTGTGCTGTGGCCGTTTCCTCTCCCCGCCCTCCTCCTCCTCCTCCTCCTCCTCTTCAGTACTCCTCCTACTATCGACTCCTCCTCCTCCTCCTCCTGCCCTCCTCCTTCCTCTCCTCCTCCTCCCTCTTCACTCCCGCTATCCCCTCTCCCTCCCCTCCCTCTCTCCCCCTCTCCTCCTCTCCGCGCAGTCTTACCCGCCCCTGCTGCTTGCGGCGTTCTCCTCCCGCCCTTTCCCCTCCCCCTCCTCGTACTCCTCCTCCTCGTACTCCTCCTCCTCGTACTCCTCCTCCTCCTTCTTCTCTTCCTCCTCTGCCTCGTCGTCCTCCTCCTCGTTCTTCTCGCTGGTCCGCGGCAGTTCTAGAATCGTGTTCGGTGAAGTGCTGGTGGAGCTTAGCGGCAGTCGTTGCCATCCCTCGCAGCGGGCGGCTGCTGTGCCCAGCCTTCGTGGCGGCCCTCCCGCCATGCCAGGGACTCGTGTCGGCCCCGCGGCGCGCAGACCCACCCGGAAGCGACAGCACCAGCTCGCACGCCAAGAAGACCCTCTGCAGGCTGACGATCCCCCAGACATGTTCGAGTCGTTTACAATTAAACACCAGACATGGTCCAACCATATTGAAGAATTGTCACAACAAATTGTCCCCCGACTAGTTTTTCACTATTCTCGCATACTCCTCATGTTGAGGGGCATGCCCGACCTACCGCTGGGACTTACCGAGTACAAACCAGACATGTCTACATCTTGTTTTGCATTACAACACAAGGACGGCGAGTCTTTTACAATCTTCGGCCCCTGGGGGCCCTCGCCGGGCCCCGGGACAGATGAGAAGCCGGCCCCGGGGAACGGGTCTGGACTTCCGGGGACGCCGTACTGGAAGCAGCATGTCTGGAGCGCCAGAGGCATCTGAGGCGCCAACCACCTCCTGCACTCACTCACCCTCCCTGCAAGACGTATCTAAAGATAATGGATGCGTTTAGATGCGATCGCGCCCGGGTGCAGGCGAGAAGCTAATCGCATCGAATTCTCTGCAACGACAACACATATATATATATATACATATATGTATATATATATATATATATATATGATGCGCGCCCCCGGCCTGTACGGGAGCGCCGCCGTACCTAAACGCACATATTTTTTATCAAGCACGTCTAACACTTTGGGGCCGTATCTATGTTCCTTCAAGGAAGCATCTCCATTCGCATCTAATGTTCAAAGCAGTGCATTGCCGCGCCGTATCAATTCGTATCTGATTTTGTCAGAGCGGATGCTGTCAGCTGTGCGCCTGGAGCGAGCAGGATCTATGATGCTGGTCGGAGCAGTGAGCACTGGGATGGGGATAGTGGAAAGCCGTAGCGGTGAGGAGTGAGGAGACGAGCGGCGACGACAAAGACGACGAGGAGCAGGATGGATAATATCGATGAAACGATATTCGCGAGAGAACCGGGAAGGAATAGGCAACCCTAGGAGGGGGAGAGCAAAGAGGAGGAGGAGGAGGCGGATGACGAAGGCAAGGAGGATTCGTCAAATCGAAAGTGAAGAGGGTGGTGCGGGCAAGGAGAAGGGAAGATGACCGAGGAGGGCGGATGAGAGGGACCCAATAGGAGTGAGGAGCGAGACTGGTCGGTCGCGGGCGTGCGCAGAGGACTCGACGGACGATCGCGATGGCGGTAATGGGGATGACGACGACGGGGAGCATGAGGGCGACAATTGCGGGGGAGTGCCCAGGAGGTTGACGAACATGGGGAGTAAAACGCGGGACTCTTGAGGGCGAAATTGGGAGGCGTACGGGGGAGTAGGAGGAGGCGGAGGAGGGGGAGGAGAAGAAGGAGGAGGAGGAGAGGAGAAATGTGAGGACGGATGCGAGGCGTGAGTGGGGATATCTTCATGTCGATGAGGGTGCATAAGGTTCATGAAGTGGAGGCATGGGGAGGTGTGATTTGGACGACGAGCGCGGACGAGGGGGGAGATGAGGGTGCGCGGCGAGGAGGCAAGAAGAGCGAGGTGGATGGAGTAGGAGGGAGCGCCAGGAGGACAACGTGGAAGAGGGGGAGTCAGGACGGAGAGAAGTAGAGCACTGATTGAAGAGAGTGGCTCCTCTTCTTCGTCCTCCTTGTCGCCGTGGTCGTTCGGCTCACCCGCCGTCCCCCTATCCCATCCGCTCGTCATGATTTCTTCTTCCCCCTCCTCCTCCTCCTCCTCCTCCTCCTCATCATCATCATCGTTGTCGTCCTGACTATACCTTGTCTTCCCTGTTCGGGGTTATTGAGTGGCCTCGGCATGGCAGTGACATGGCGCCGTATCTATTCGTATCAATGTTTGGTCGACATGTTTTGATCTCTGCGAGCGGCGTCATGTTGGACCTTATCTCAACATACCTAAACATATTTATTTGCATCCAGAATTGACACCGTATCTCAACTTAGTAATATCACACACGCACACACACCTCCCGTATGTTTGATAGTAAACAAGTGTATCTACATGTTTTTGCTTGTGACAGGTACCGATTCGTATTTAACATTCCTAAGGAAAACGCCGAATGCAGCTGCCGCTGGGGAAACGATCAACCAACGTAGAGTTTCAGATATGTCTTCCAGGGCTGCAGGACGAATCTAAACATAACAGATGTGTTTCGATGCGATCGCGCCCTGGCACAGGCGAGAAGCCCATCGTACCGAATCGGCCGCGGCGCCGACAACATACACTCTTATGTTAGATGCGCCCCCCCGGCCTGCACGGGAGCGTCGCCGTATCTAAGCGTATCTAGTTTACAAGCGTATCTGAATTGTTGGGACCGTATATGGTTGTCTTCCAGTAGCGTGTGTGTATATATATATATATATATATTTATCTATATATATGTATAAGTCCGCATCTGATTTTCAAAGAATGGCAATGCCGCGCCGTATAGATTCGTATCGAATTTCGTTAGAAAGGATGCTGTTGGCTGTGTTCTCGGAGTGAACAGGATCTATGATATTGGCCGAAGAAATGAGCAATGGGATGGGGATACTGGAAAGCCGTAGCGATGAGGAGTGAGGATACGAGTGGCGACGACAAAGACGGCGAGGAGCAGGATGGATAAGGTCGATGAAACGAGATTCGCCAGAGAACTGAGAAGGAATAGGCAACCCTAGGAGGGGGAGAGCAAAGAGGAGGAGGAGGCGGAGGACGAGGACAACGAGGATGCGTCACATCGAACATGGAGGGGGTGGTACGGGCAAGGAGAAGGGAAGATGAGCACCGAGGAGGGCGGATGAGGAGAGCCCAACAGGAGCGAGGAGCGAGAGTTGTCGATCGCGGGCGTGCGCAGAGGACTCGACGGACGATCGCGATGGCGGTAATGGGGATGACGACGACGAGGAGCATGAGGGTGACAATTGCGGGGGGGGGGGGCAAGGATATTGACGAACATGGGGAGTGAAACACGGGACTCCTGAGGGCGACATTGGAAGGAGTATGCGGGAGTAGGAGGAGGAGGAGGAGGAGGAGGAGAAATGTGAGGACGAATCAGAGGCGTGATGGGGGGTATGTATTACGATGAGGGTGCAAAAGTTTCATGAAATGGATGCGTGCAGAGGAGCGATTTGGACGACGAGCGCGGACGAGGGGGGAGATGAGGGCGCGCGGCGAGGAGGCAAGAAGAGTGAGGTGGATGGAGTAGGGGGGAGCGTCAGGAGGATAACGTTGACGAGGGGGAGTCAGGACGGGGATGGAGTAGAGCAATGGTTCGTCCTCCTCGTCACCGTGATCGTTCGGTTCACCCGCCGTCCCCCCTATCCCTTCGGTTCGTCATGATTTCTTCCTCCCCCTCATCATCATCATCGTTGTCGTCCTGACTGGCATGTGCATTGTTTTCCCTGTTCGTGGTCATTGAGCGGACTCGGCATGGCAGTGCCATGGCGCCGTATTTTTTCGTATTTTTTTTTTGGTCGACAGGTGTTCCTGCGATTGGCGCCATGTTTAACCGTATCTAAACATATCTAGACGTATCTGTTTGCATCTAGAAATGGCACCGTATCTCAAATCAGTAACAAGACATACCTCACGCTACTCAACAAATAAGCATTCGTATCTAAACGCATGTGTTATTGAACGATATCTATTCGTATCTACTTCTCGCAAGGAAAACGCTGTAAAGCACAGACGGTTCAGGAAGGATTTGTAGATCCCGTGCGGCCTTTCCGACTGCAGTTGCCGCTGGGGAAGTGAGCAACCAACGTGGATCGTTGGATATGCCTTCCAGGGCAGTCTCCGGGCAGGCATGGGCGCGGTGGAAGAGCGGATCCAGCAGGCCCCCAGGCAGCAGATGGAGGGGGCGACCGAAGCTATGCAGAACACCGCCGCCCTTTTTTCTTCATAGCGATCTCATCAGAGGTGCAGAAGCAGCTTCAGCCACATATGGAACGTCTTGACAAGCAGCAGACCGATCTCTCGCAGGTATCATCGGTCACTCAGAAGCTCGAGCAGGAGAATGCCACGACGCAGGGCCATATGTCCGCTACATGCTTACTACTCTCGCGCAGGTGGACGCCCTCGGCCGCAGCGATGACCCCGACATGCTGCGCATCGCAGACTGGGACAGGCCTGCCGACCCCCAGCTCTTCGTGGCCAACTGCGGCAAGGTGGCGCCCCCGCGGACCACCTCGCGGCGCTGCAGGAGTGGTCGGTCGCATCCAACACCAAGGGAAGCTATATCAAAGTCAATGGGCGCGAACCCGCCAAGAGGTTCCACATCTTCGTCCGCGGGGCTGGTGCAGAACGTGCCCGAGCCTTGGCGCTGGCCAAACATCTCAAGCTTCAGGGCGGGCGATGGAGGGAAGTCACCACTATGTCCTCAAAAGGCACCACGGAGCAGCTCTACATCAATCCAAAGAGGAATACGAAGGCGACCAGGCAGGAGATGCAAACGAAGCAGATCATGGCCTTGTGCACGGGAGAGAAGAGTGGCGACTGGTGGATACAGAGAACGAGGGGGAATGTGTGCCTTCCTCCTCCTCCTCCTTCCCCTCCTCCCCCTCCTCCTCTTCCTCCTCCTGCTCCTCCTCCTCCTCCTCCTCCTCTTCCTCTTCCTCCTCCTCCTCCTTCTCCTCCTCCTCCTCCTCCTATCTGCCTTCTTGCCTCCATTCTTCGTGCATCCCCTTGGAGGCGAGACCTCCCAGCCCGCTCCGGAGTTTGCCAACTGCGCAACCGTCGCCGCTTTCGTGGGCTCCCGGGAGGTCCAGCGGAGGCGGTGCCAACTGCGCGGCTGCCGCCTCTTCGTGGGTCCCTGAGAGGCCCCGCGGAGGCGGTTGGCGGGCGAGACCTTGCGGGCCCCCCGGGGAGGCGGCCAGCTGCGCGACCGTCGCCACCCCGGCGGGCTCCTCGGAGGTCCACTGCAGGGCGGCAGTCGGGCGAGACCTCGCGGCTCCCTGGGAGGCTGCGAACTGAGCAGCCGTCATCACTCTCGTAGGCTCATGGGAGGTCCGGCGGAGCAGACCGTCCTCGCAGCAGGATCTTTGGTATGGAGCTTTCCTATACTTGGTCGCCTTGCGTGGAGAAGGGGGTGGGTACGTCTCCTTGCTTTTTTCTGGCTCCGGGGGAGTTCTGGAGTTCCGGGTCCGCTATGACGCGCGTCCGCGGATAGAGAGGACATCTGCGCAGTGGGTGGGATGTCAGATCTGGTGTGCGCGCACCTAGCTTGTCACCACCCTCCCTCTGATCCTTCTTGCCCCCTCCTCCTTCCTTCCTCCAACCTCCGTCCCTCGTCACACTCCCTCCTGTTCTCCCTCTGCCTCCACGGCAGGGGCAACGTGTTCGGGCATGCTGAGAGCAGCGCCGTGCGGAGGCAGGCCACGGCACCGAGAAGGTTGACGCCACACGCCCTGCGCTTCCGCGACACGCTGTTTGCCCTCTGTCCCGGCACTGGGTCCAAGGAGAGTCGTGAAGCTCGTTCGGGTCTGCCACAAGCCGCTACGTAAGGGACTGGGTGTCCTTCATAGGTTTCGCCGTGGCCTCGGTCCCAATATGGGTGTGCGTGAGACGTTTGATAGGGTGTTGCCCTGATGCTGGGCTGGACTCGGCCAGGCCTGATGTGAATGTTGCCCAAGTTTCTCTAGCTTTCTCGGATGCTGCCTCGGCCCCGCGAGCAGAGGATGACCGCCGTGGTCATCAGAGGTAAGGCCAGAGAAGAGGCCGCCAAGGCTTCGGGGGCGATGTCACTCGGGTACCACTCCAGTCGGGCGGGACTAGGACGGCAGCTATCGGCCACGCGGCTGGGACAGTTGCTTGTTTTTAGGGGCCGAGTTTCGTGACATAAGTTTCGGCTGACTCGGCAGCCGAGGGCGGATGCACAGAATTTTCTGCTTGGTGGAGTCTTCTTCCCATCAGTTGGGAAGCCGGCAGTCTTCATCATTCTAGGAGAAAAAAAAGGGGCGATACCACTCGGGTCGGCCACCTTTCGAGGCGCCGTCCATCCATTCATCCTTCCCGGCGCTGCCCCGCTGCCGGCGGAGACTTGGCCTCCGACGAGGGTTCCACCTCGACCGCCCACGGACGCGGCGTGGAGCGTGACCCCCCGCCTCTCCCCAGCGGGCTGGCGCCGAAGAGCGAGGTGATTTCCCCTGCGAGCGGGCGCTTTTGCCTGAGGGTCCCTGCCCACCAGGGAGGGCCACGGAAAAGCACTCCCTCTTCCTCCTCCTCCTTCGCCCCCCTCGTGCCTGCGCCCCCATCTTCCTCGAAGGGGCGGGCCTAGAGTGGTCTTGGACGAACCCTCTTGCACGCTGGTCTCCTTCGCCCCCCTCGACGCTCGGTGCGTTTTGTCGGCCGCAGCTGCGGCCTCCGGGGGGCCGTTCAGGGCGACCCGGGCACCCCCGGAAAGCTCTCGACGAGGCGCAGCTCTGAGGGAGGATAGCAAGGCTGGAAAATTGCCGAGACGCAGCGAAACCTTCCGAAAATCTCGAACCTCGGCCCTCCTCGTCCTCCTCATCCTCATCCTCCTTCTCCTCCCTTCTCGTCGTCCTCCTCCTCCCCCTTTTTCCTCCTCCCTTCTCCTCCTCCTCCCTTCTCCTCCTCCTCCTCCTCCTCCTCCTCCTCCTCCTCCTCCTCCTCCTCCTCCTCCTCCTCCTCCTCTTCCTTCTCCTCCTCCAAACCTTCTCCTTATAAATAACTTCTCCCTGTCGCACCCCGGGGCCAGTTTTTGGGGCGGGCTGGGCGTTTCGCCCGAGACTTCCTCACCAGTTGTGATTCTGAAGCTGAAAAGTGGCAACAGCTTCACGGATTGTGGGCGGGTGGTTTTCAAAATGTGGCTCTCGCCTTAGCGCCGCGCACATTCCTTGCAGCGAACTGCAACAGCTTCACGGATTGAGGGCGGGTGGTTTTCAGAATGTGGCTCTCGCCTCAGCGCCGCGCACATTCGTTTTAACAAATTGCAGGAGCTTCACGGATTGAGGGCGGGTGGTTTTCAAGATGTGGCTCTCGCCGTAGCGCCGCGCACATTCGTTTTAACAAACTGCAAGAGCTTCACGGATTAAGGGCGGGTGGTTTTCGAAATGTGGCTCTCGTCTTAGCGCCGCGCGCATATTGTTTTATTAGATTGCAAGATGTTCACGGATTGAGGGCGGGTGGTTTTCAACATGTGGCTCTCGTTTTAGCGCCGTGCACGTTCGTTTTTTATGCAGAAGTTCTACGGATTCCCATGAACAGCGTACCAGAAATAATGTGTTGGACGGATTCAGGGTTATGCGAGTGCAACAATTATGTTGGCTCGCGGTGTTGAAGTCCCAAAATGGCGTCCTGGCACGATTCCATATCGTCAGGACGCAGCAGTCATGTTGATCCGTGGCGTGGAAATCTCGGGAACAATGTTTTGGCATGCTTCAAGGTCTTCAAGCGGTTGTCTTCCCACGAGGCAGTTCCCTCAATGGAAATGAGTCGTTGTAGGGGCCTATGAAGAGGGAGCCTGGAGGGAGGGTTACTTCCAACATCGTTCATGACTCTTGGGTTTACACTGGTCCTCCTCCTCCTCCTCCTCCTCCTCCTTCTCCTCGTCCTCCTTCTCCTCGTCCTTCTCGACCCCCCTTCTTGGATAGCAGGGGCCCCGTCATAGTCTCGGCGATGGCCGGGGCGCCCCCCACTGGTGGATTTTGTGGGGCGGTCGGCGCTGCCTGAATCGGTGGGGCATTAATTGAGCGGGGGACTGGACGGAGGGGGGGTGGCTGCTGTTGGACTGTGCCCCTCTCCTCCTCCTCTCTTCTTTATATTCGTTCCCCCTTTCTTGTCCTCTCTCCCCCTGGGTTCGCAGTTCTCATAGACCCTGCCATCGGGGGCCACAAAAGGGCGTCCCCACGAATAAGCACTCGCAGTTCTGATGTGCATCGCGGCTTCTGTGATGTGCATCGCGGGGTTGGGGGTGCTTACGAGGGGGGCGACGATGATAAGGAGGAGGAGGAGGAAGAGGAGGAGGAGCAGGCGGAGGAGGAGGGGAGGAGGAGGAGAAGCAGTATGAGCAGGGGGGGAAGAAGAGGAGGAGGGGGGGAGGAGTGAGAGAGAGAGAGAGGAGGAGGAGGAGTGAGGAGGAGGAGGAGGACGAGGACGAGAGGAGGAGGAGGAGGAGGAGGAAGGAGAACGAGGAGGAGGAGGAGGACGAGGAGGTGGAGGATTAGGAAAAGGAGGAAAAGGAAGGCGTGAGGGAGGGAGGGAGGGAGGAGGGAGGAGAGGAGGGAGAGGATGAGGAGGAATTTTGGAGGGAGGACGAAGGGCTTCAACGGCGTTTCACCCCCTCGCCGGGGTCGGAACGTCGGAGCCGGGGGACCCGCGGCGGCGTGCGGAGCTGCTGCCGCGAGGCACGCGACGGTTGATCTTTCAGCTTCGTCCAGTTATGCTGCAGCGCCGTGTCGCCCAGGAGAGGCCTGGGGACAGTGTTGTTTCGTTATCGTCGCCCCTGTTGCCCACCCATGCGTCACCGATGCTCCTCGTCCTCCTCCCTCCTCCCAGTCCTGCTCCTTCCCCCCCCTTCTCCTCTCCCACCCGCTCCTCCCCCCTCCACTGCTGCTCATTCGCGTCGTCGTCCTCCTTCTCCTCCTCTCCTCCGCCGCCTCCTCCTCCTCCTCCTCCTCCACCTCTTCGTCCACCTCCTCCTCCTCCTCCTCTTCCTCCTCCTCCTCTTTCTCCTCCTCCTCCTCCTCCTCCTCCTCCTCCTCGTCCTCCTCCTCCTCCTCCTCGTCAAGGTCGTGCCTTCTTTCCCTCCTCTTGCTGGCGCCCCCCCGGGGCGCGAGAGGCTGGCGGCCCGCCCGCCGCCGCGCCGAGGCAGGAGCTGCTGCGCCGCGCGGCGTCGGAGGCGCTGGTGCTGCTCAAGAACGAGGAGCCCTTGGGGCGCTCGGCCTTCCCGCCCGAAGGGGCGGAGTGTCAGGGGAGGGGAAGGTAACCATGCCGATGCCCTTCCCTCGTTCCCCCCCGCCCCTGTTGGGCCTCCCCAGAGGCCCTCGTCCCGGTGGGTTCGCCTCGGCAGTCAGGCCAGAGCGCACCCCGGGAGAGGTCCGGGGCATAGCGGCATCGGTACCTTGTGGCGCTTCCCCTGAAGAAAAGGCGGACAGGGAGGAGGCGGAGGAAGGGGAGTTGGGGGGGGTGGATGGGGAGGAGGGGGAGAGCACAAGCTAGGTGCGCTCGCGTCATATCTGACGTCCTACCCCTCCCTCCCATCCCTTACCATTGCGCTGATTTTCTCTATCCGCGGACGCGTGTCGTAGCGGACCTGTGGCTCCGCGCGCGCGTGCGTAGTGGGTGGTGGTGCCCGTGCGTGCGTGCGTGCGTGCGTGCGTGCGTGTGTGGTGTCGTGGTGGTGGTGGTGGTGGTGGTGGTGGTAGTGGTGGTGGTGGTGGTGGTGATGGTGGTGCTGGTGGTGGTGGTGGTGGTGCTGGTGTTGGTTGTGGTGGTGGTGGTGGTGGTGGTGGTGGTGGTGGTGGTGGTGGTGCTGGGTGGTGGTTGTGATGGTGGTGGTGTGGTGCTGGTGGTGGTGGTGGTGGTGGTGGTGGTGGTGGTTGGTACTGGTGCTGGTGCTGGTGCTGGTGCTGGTTGTGGTGGTGGTGGTGGTGGTGGTGGTGGTGGTGGTGGTGGTGGTGGTGGCGGTGCGGCGCGGTGGTGGCGGGCGGATGGGCGCGCGAGAAAAAGGCCCGCGCTGGTGCGAGAACGCCATCCTGAACGACGGAGGCCAAGCACCGATCCGAAAATGAGGCCCACGCTGCAGCGGGAGCACGATTCGGAACGATTCGGGAGCAGAAATGAGGCCGGCGCCTCAACGAGAGCAGCATTTTGGGAAAAAAATGACGCCGGCGCCTCAGCGAGAGTCGTTTCCCGGGATTTCCCGGGAATCCTGTGTGTAAAAAAACAGTACGCGGAGGGTGCGCGGCCATCACCCGGACGCCATCAGGGGAAGGATTCGGGAGCAGAAATGAGGCCGGCGCCTCAACGAGAGCAGCATTTTGGGAAAAAATGACGCCGGCGCGAGAGCAGCATTTTGGGAAAAAATGACGCCAGCGCCTCAGCGAGAGTCGTTTCCCGGGATTTTCCGGGCATCCTGTGTGTAAAAAAACAGTACGCGGAGGGTGCGCGGCTATCACCCTGACGCCATCAGGGGAAGAGGGAGAGTATATTCATATTGAGTAATTGTGGAGGAGGAGGAAGAAGAGGAGGAGGAGGAGGGGGAGGATGAGGAGGACGACGAGGAAGGAACAGGTTTGAGAGGGGGATGGGGCGCGTGGGAGAGGAGGAGAGGGGGTGGACAGTACTGGAGTTGGAGTACGACTGGGGCTACGATGTCTCATGAAAATGCAGAACTGCGCGCGTAACGCCGTACTTGCACCGTGCAGCTGCGGTGGAGGAGAAGGGGGGCAAGGAACATGACGAAGAGAGGGGGGGGCGATGAGGACGCGGGGGAGATGGTGAATAGGAGGGCGGTGTGGAGGGCGGGGGGCAATTGAGGATACGGACGGTGAGGAGTTCCGGAGTTGCGGGCGAGGCGATTATATCAGTCACTAAAAAGAGCATTTATGATTGATGTTACTGGTTGGCCTGATTGGTCTCCCCAGCCTTCTTGTAGACCATCGGCCAAAGACTCCTGTCGATACGGCCAAGGTCATCCATACGATTACTGGACCGCGCGCGTTTAGGATTACACGCTTGCCTCATATTTTATATGTGATGTGCAGCAACACGCCCCCAACATGTGCAACACCGAAGGCCCAGACCCAAGTGACACTCTAAAGTGTGGGTATCGTGCGCGAGCCGCCCTGAGATGTGCACTCTGCGCCCATGATGAAGCTGACGACACACGCGGTCGGCATTACTGTGGTCAAAACATGACGAGCTCAACCACTCAAGCCTTCCTAGCGAGCGAGGTCGATCTCAAACATCGAGAGCAACTTGTGCATTTGTTCCTTTCGACAGCGCTGGGTACCGATGGGAGCGCACGCACACACACACAGGCACACACACACACACACCACACTGGCCGCTGGAGGCCGAACGATCTGGGAGCTGCGACGATACCCCCGCTTCAAACCTGCAGCTCTAGCTCCAGCCTCCTCAGCCTGGACGATTTCTAGCCTGCTCTGTAGATTGCGCACGCGCACGACAGAAGGCAAGGAACTCGGCCCGATGTCCACGCGCGCGCTCTCACTGCGTCAGACGTGCCACCTCGGCTCCTGCAGCCGCAAACGCATTCGCAACATTATCACCGAAGGTGAGGAGACGAGGAGCACGAGGACAAATTGTGCGTTCAGCTTCTAAGTGCGAGTAGGCACATAAAAGTGTGCAGCTCAGATGTGCTCTGCGATTTCGATCAGCTCCTATTTGCCAGCACAGGTCAACATAATTTCCGACTGGTCTCTTCCATGATCACACCACCCCGTGTACACATTGGAATTGTCTGTTCCATACACGATGGTTCCGACACATCCGTGAAGCGTGACCCACAAACAATAAGGACGAGGAGGGGGCGGAGGAGTAGGAGGATAGGGGAGGAGTGGGAGAAGGGGGACGAAGATATTTCATCAGGAAGGTGATGATGCGATGATGGTGATCAGGATTGTTGGGGGGGGGGGCGAGAAGGAGAAGGTTCTGAACGAGGTGTATGATGACTAGCAGAGTATGATGATAATGAAGAGGAGGCCGTAAAAGGGGAGTGGGGGATGGGGTAGGGAGGAGGAAGAGGGAGAGGAGGGGGGAGAGGGGTATTGGAGAGGGAGGGGAGTGAGCGAGGGGGGGAGGAAGGAAGGTGGGGGAGACCCGGGATAAGGATCAGGATGAAGGCTAGGATGGAGACGAGGACGAGCAGAAGGGTAATGGTGAGAGTGAGAACGAGGATGACAGGGGATGTAGACAGTGATGCGGAAGGGCACGGGAAGGTGGGATAAGTTTTGTACGTGCAGGATTATCTGCTTACGCTACGACACCTCGTGCATGGTCCCTGCCATACCAGCTCCTCTGTCTGCATGGAGGCTCCCCAAGGCCAGATGCTCCGGCAGGCGTTGATGCATTGTGGTCAACAGGCGTAGGGGCTAGCACTGGATGTTCGGAATACGCCATGTCGCTCCTGCTCAGCACGCAGTTGGTCAAGCTGGACCGCACGTTCCGACTTGCCAGGTACTTGGATGGCAGCTCCTCCTGGGGTCTATTCCAGGTGATCTTTGACGCTGACTATCCTCCATGTCGCCGAGCCGATGGTTTTCCCATAATCACCGCCTGGGGGCTCGATCTTCTGGGGCCTCGGCAGGAGGTGGGTCTGGATAGGATCTAAGCATGTACGTACACGTGTACACATATAATATGCGCACGCAGTTTCGGGCCCTGGGAAGGGGACGCATCTATCTGTACCCACCTCCTGAGGCCCCCGCAGATCGAGGCCCCCGGGCGGCGGTCATGGATGAACCCCCGCATCGCACTCCTGCTGGCGCCGGTGGCGCCCGGCCTCGGAGCGCAATCATCATGCGACGGTGTGCGCGGCGGGCCACTGGCTGATTACTGTATGCTGCTCACGCACATGGTGGCGCTGGCCGTGGTCCTGAAAGTCGGAAAGGGGAGCAGGAGCAGGGGCAGGAGGAGGAGGAGGAGGAGCAGGAGGAGCAGGAGGAGGAGGAGGAGTAGGAGGAGGAGGAGGAGCAGGAGGAGGAGGAGGAGGAGCAGGAGCAGGAGGAGGAGGAGGAGGAGGAGGAGGAGGAGGAGGAGGAGGAGGAGTAGGTAGGACGAGGAGGAGGAGAGAAGCAGGAGGCGGAGGGGGAGCAGGGGGAGGAGAGGAGGAGGAGGAGGAGGAGGAGGAGGAGGAGGAGGAGGAGGAGGAGGAGGAGGAGCAGGGGGAGGAGAGGAGGAGGAGGAGGAGGAGAGGAGGAGGTCGAGGAGGAGGAGGAGGAGGAGGAGGAGGAGGAGGCACGGGGCCTAGCAGTCAAGCACCAGGAGAAACAACTGGAACTAGCTGACATCAGAAAAGGTTGAGCTCAGCTCGAAAATAAACCGTTCAATGCACAAAGCTTCTATCTCCAGCGCCGCGGGGCGCGCGCAGCATGCCCTGCAGCAGTGCGATCACAATTATATTATCGGGGCTCCTGTTTTGGGGTAAAGGCCTTTTTGGACCTTGCCGACTTTTCGCAAAACCGCGGCCACGGCCCGAGGCTCCCTGGGGGTCCCAAGGCAGGCTGAATTGAGGCCGCTCCGACCAGCCCAGCCAAAATCCCCCGTACAGGATGCCCCACACTTCGTGCAGATCACAACACGCCCATGCGCGAAAGGCTTGTGATCGAGCGCACGGAAAACCTCGAACAGAGCTTCTTGGTCCTCCACCTCCCTGGGAGCCGGCGGCCCCAGGACTCCGTCAGCGGCAGCGAGGGCCGAGGAAACCTCACCACCCAGGAACGGGCCACGGAAATCGTGGAGGACCAAGCCCGACTGCAGGAATAACTGCCTTGCGTTCCACCTGTCCGTCGGAGACGGCTCGCACTTACTATTCAGCAGGTGCGAGAGGTGTCCTTCAGTGCGGGCAACGCATGCACACATCTTACAGCGGTACTCGTTGCGCGGCTCGACCCAAACCAAGTCGTGACGCACTACGCCCAAGGCGTTCGAGCGGGCCAAGACCGCCGGCTTAACGCAGGCGCTTTGCTCGTGCTATGCGTTCAACTCCAGAGCCCTAACTACAGCCCAGGACACATATTCAAGCAGCTCCTGAGCCCGTTTGAGCTCCGCGGCCAGGAAGTCGCAGAATCCTTGGGATACAGCGTGCTGGTGGGCCCCGAGTTTCGCAGACCAGTCGGCCCACATATTGCCGACCCACCACCTTAGAGGGATCCCAAGATCCAGGGCCTCCTGGAGGGT